CCGTCGACTTTGTCCGTGCAGTCGTAGTCGCCATCCGTGCCGAGTCGATGCCGCGCAACGGCGAGCCGCTTGGCGATGCTGCCGAGCCGGCGCTCGCGATCGGCACTCTCTCGCTCAAACTGAGCGCGCGTGTGCCTACGCTCGCCCGGCTGATGCGTATCGGCCATTTCCTCGGCCTTGTGACGGCGCTCGCTGCAGTGTGTCGCCACACGATCGCCGCGAAGAAGCCGCTGAGGACGCTCGCCTCGCTGCGTCTCGCCCTCAAGTGGGTGCGTCACGAGATGTCGCACGTGCATTCCAGCGCTCAGGCCACGGCTCAGCTCGCTGCGACGACCGCGGTTGGCGACGTGTCTGCGGCCGCTGCTGACCCCGATGCCCGCTTCGCAGCGATCGTGCACGACCTGCCCGGCCGCTTCACCGCGTTCTGGAGCGCGTACGACGCGCTGGTCGATGCCCTGACGCACGCCTATCCCGCGGTGCCTCACGTGCACACCAAGCTGCCCGAGGACCAGCTGCTTGTGCCTCTCGGCGTGGCCTCCAGCGGCCATGCAGCCGACAGCGACGATGCACGCATCGGCGATCTGCTTGCTGATGCCGACGCAGTGCGTCTGAGCCCTCTCTCGCCACTCGCTCCGACTGGCGAGGACGACGACCCGGTCGACTCGGCGATGCGTGCGTTCGAGACGCTCCGCGAGGAGCATCCGAACAATGAGCACCTGCAGAAGGAGTATCTGCATAGCGAGCAGCTGCAGAAGGAGCTTCCACACAAGAACTATCTGCACAGCGACTATCTGCAGGAGGAGCGTCCGCACAAGGAGCACGCGCACAAGGAGCACGCGCACAAGGAGCACAAGGCGAATGCAAGCGATCTGCTCAAGCACGTCCTGAGCGGCAATCCCAAGGCAGTGCCGCTGGCCGCCGCCGGCAGTCCTGCGTCTGCGCCGGCGCCGCTGTCGCACGCGCCGCACACGCCGCGCATGCCGTACAACCATCATCTCCAGCCCTATCATCTCCAGCCCCATCATGTCCAACCCAATCAGATCCTGCCTGGCCAGCTCCAGCCTGGCCAGCTGGTCAAGCCCGACCAGTTGCAGCGCCTTACGCAATACGCACAGCAGGCACAGCACCAACCTAATCCTGGATGGCCCTCGCCATGGGCGCCGCAGGGCTCCCAGTGGCCCGAGGCATGGCCCAACCAGCCGTCTGTCCTCTTCGGTGCTGGCTCGCACTCATCCATCTGGAGCAACTCTCATGACCCATGGCCGCACCCCAGCTAGCCGCTAAGCTCTCAAGCTCCAACTACATGGCCTGCAGCCTCCATTTTCAACGCAATAATCAAACGATCTCGCATTTGTGCGGCGGCGCGGCCGTGTTGCAGAATTGTGTCAACAGCATCGCGCTCTGTTGTGCCGGACACCGTTACTGTCTGGGCAGGCCAGTCGATCTGAATCTCGACAAGGCCATTCAGAGCGAGCTCCAAAAGCTGTGTACGCATCATGTCTTCCTCCCAGCCAAATACTGTGGCCAGACGACCCACAGACACACGTCGGTAGGCGGACAAGTAGCGCGCCAGCATGCGCTGCGTGATGCTGCTGAGCATCTGCGGCACGTGCCCGCCAATAATAGGGTCTAGTCTTATTGAAGCAATATGCTGGCGGAGAAGCAGCAGTGTCCTGCGCATGTCGCCCGCACGGAACGCATGGAGGATATCGCGGGGCGCGGCGTCGCTCTCTGAGAGACGCTTAAACATGGCATCCTCACTGAGCTTGGAACAGCGGCCGTTCTTGCCTGTGCCAGGGTCGCTCAGCACTCCAAGCACAGCATACCACGCCAGCGCAGCAGGCGGCACAATATCCACAAAGCCCAGCTCGCTGCCAGCGTCGACCTCGGGCAGTGCCTTTGTGAGGTCACATGCGGCAAAGCGGCAGAGCGTGCGCATCGCGGCGATGCGCGAGCTGATTTGGGCGCGCGAGTCGACGCCGTCAGGCTGTGGGTTGCCGCGGAAGAGCGCGTCAATCGATGCCCCACCGGGTGTGGGCCCACGTGGAGCGATGGATATGCTTCCCGCGGCGAGCGTCGTGCGCCAACTCTCGTTCTGCCCCGGAGTCGCGGCCGGACGGATGGAGCTGAGCGCACATGCGGCCTTGTCTGCATATGAAAGCGCAGCATCGGGGATGCCAAGGACGAACGCAGTGTACATGGCGCGCAGATTCGCCTCGAGGACATGTTCATGGCTCATGCTAAACTCGCGCATCTTGTCGTAGTGCACCAGCGCGTCGGAAAACCTGCCGCTGCGCACATAGTGGTCGCCGAGGTCGTTGTGTCCCATGCGCACGCTCTCTGTGATCATATTATTTTCGTACATGCGCAGCTCTGCGGTGAGCAGTTCTGCTTCTTGGCGGACATGCTTCTCGGTAGCCTCGATCCAGCTCTTGTCCGGCTCAGCGTCGGCCAGTGCGATGGCAGCTTGGTATATTTCAATGTCGCGCGTGTCGCTTTTTGCTGTGTCTGCTGCGGCGCTCGCTGCGGCAGTGCGCAACGAGGGCACACGCTCTGCTACGTAGAGCAGTCTGTGCACCCGCGCATGTCCGCGTGTGTCGCCCACATGCTCCTCGAGCGAGAACCGCTCGACTGTGGCTACTGACGCGTCGTCCCACATTAACGCGTCTCGGCCGACCATCATGGACGTGGATGAGCGCTTAAACACAGCCGCGAACGAGCCATCATTGGACGCACGGGCGGCTGTGTACGAAGAGGCGCTGCGCGCTGCGCTTGCATGTGATGGAGACGTGACAGATACCCTTATTGCAATTATCGAGCATGCCACACACCATCCTGCCAATTCGAGAGGTGTTGGTCTGGTCGTTGCGCGGCGCACGCTAAACGAGTTTATACAGCTCATCACGACGGCACATGCTCAGCAGCACGGATACCTGGCAGACACCTCCTGCTTCCGTGCCATGCTCGAGCGCGCGCTCGAGGTGACAGCAGCGGTGTCTGGGCTCGTCGATGAAGTCGTTTCGCTCCGGCTCACGTTGGCCTCGGCACTCGCCGAGCTCGGCGACAAGCGCGGCGCCGCGGACGTGTACGCGGACGTGATCAACAATGCGCCACGTCGCTCAGACACGGACGTGTGGTGGATGCGTCTCCATATCCAGCTGATCGAGCTGCTGCTTTCTATCGGCGACCCTGCGGCAGCCGACACTTTTCTCAAGCGTGCGTTGGTGCTCGTGCACAGCGTCGACGACAAGCAGGTCGCATTCGACTTTCGGCGCGTGCAGGCAAGCGTGTACGACGCGCAGCACCGCTACTGCGATGCGGCAGTGATATACTACGAGCAGAGCGTCGAGGCACAGGATGCCCAGCTGCTCAGTGCCGCCGTTAACTCGGCGCTGGTGGCACCAGTAAGTGCTCAGCGCACGCTGCTGCTCGAGCAGCTGGCGCGGGATAGTCGTGCGGCGTCCTTGCCCCAGGCCCCAGTGCTCACTCTGGCTGCGAATGGCCGCATGCTCCGAGCAGCAGATCGCGCGCTGCTAGAAACGCATCTCGCTCCCCATCAGCGACATGTGGTGCTCGGCACTGACATGTTCCGCTCGTCCGAGCTCCTGCGTGTGGTGGATGTCGCTGTCGCCGAGCACAACATCTCCGCCGCGTCACGAGTCTACTCTGTCGTCAAAATATCGCGCCTCGCTGACCTTACCGGCTTCTCACCGGCCGACATCGAAGCTCAGGTTGGCCGCATGATCACACGCGGAGCGCTTCCTCCTGGCACACTTATTGATCAGGTAGCCGGGTCCGTCTCGTACGGAGAGCCCGTGCATCCAGTCGCCGCTGCAGAGAGCCAGGAGGAGACCGAAGCCACCACACAGGAGGAGCCCTTTGACCCCGATGCATCACTCTATGCAGGATGGTGCGCCCGCATAGCGTCATGCACACAGACGCTCGAGCAGGCACACGAGAGACTACATGCTGCAGGTTGGCTTGCATCCGGTGCTGCTGTATAGGTATTATTTTATTTATTTATTCTCTAGTCGTCGTCCGAATCGTCCAGATCGAGCGCAGACACGCTTTCCTCGACTTGGTCGAGGTCCTCGCGCGCGTGCTTCTCGCGCTCCTCACGCGAGAACTGGCTCCAGTCCACGTCCTTGACCGAGTCGTCGCCCTTCTCCTCTTCCTCCACAGGCACCTCCTTGGAGAAGAGCTGGCGGCCGCTCGGCTTGCTCTTGAAGCGGCGGTACTCCTCGCGCTCTTTTGCGCTCAGAGACGCGATATATGCAGCTTCTTCGCGCGCACGCTTCTCCTCGCGCTCGCGCTCGAACTCCTTGCGCCATGCATTGAACCGCTCAACGGTCACTGCAGTGCCACGGAACTTTTCAGCCTCGGCCTCGAGCTCGGCGTCGCGGCGTCGGCTCGCCTCCGCCTGTGCCTCACGGTCTTTTCGTGAGATGTACTCGGTGAGCGTCTCGCGCAGATGTGATGCGAGCGTAAATACCATCGGCATCCCCAGCGACTCGTTTGCCGTGTCGTGCACGCCGGCCAGCAGCTCCTGGATGCCTGCATGCGGGTTAGATTCTGGGATATCCTCTGGCGCGTCGTCGGAGACCACGTCGGGCTCGCCTCCAAAGACACCTGCCTCATCGCTGCGTACAGTGATAGCGATCTGAGGCACCTCGTCTGGGTAGTCTTGTGTATATTTCACATGGAGCACGAGCGTTGGGGGCGCCTTGAGCAGCGACGAGTCCTCGGCTACTTCGCCCTGCTCCTCTGGCACAACGGAGATGCGCAGATAGTCATCGGATATTTCTGTGTTAGCAAGACGCACTTTCAAGCTCGTCAATGTAGATGCTCTCGAGCACCTCGAGCTCCTCAGCGAGGGTCTGCGCGTGCTCGTCTGCAGAAACCATGCGGAGGATATTACGTGCACACGCAATACAATAACACTTTGTCTCTCGAGAAAATGTGTTTTTAGTCTCAGTTTTGCGAAAATCCGGCGATACTCGGGTCTACTGGCGCAATGGTAGCGTATCAGCCTTCTACGTATCTTTCCGTGCGTGAAAGGCGAGCTGAGGGTTGCGGGTTCGAGCCCCGCGTGGACCTTGATAATTTTCAAATGAAAATTTTTTTCTTATTTTATGATCTGTTATGCGAAAGCGATGTATGCCTAAAAGACAGGGTCCTGTCAGTACCTATATCTGCATAGTATTATAGGTGCTACATACCGGCATGTTTATTAATAATTTTTTTTTTGGCCAGCCAGCATCGTATTTCTTACCGATGTATGCACAATGATTCTTTATATCCGGTTCCCCTGCATAGTTACCTCATTGCCCCTATTCTCAAGGTTTAGCGTGAGAGACCCAGCTTCGTAATCTGCGAACAGTGTCTTCTCACTGTAGTAGTTTTTGCACTACAGTCAAGGAGGAGCTGAGGCACCTACGGCTTTGTTGGTGATCGAATCACACCACACGTTGCTGCCTCCCAGCTCCCGTGTGAAGACAGACTTCTCACCAGCATATGCATACTGGGTCACACGAGAATAAGTCTCGAGTGATCGGCAAGAATGAAGCACAATACACGCGTGCTGATCCTGCCCCAATTTGTGAGTTCGCGCTAACCAGACACACACTCGGGTGATGAAAATGACCACCTGAACAACTCAAATCCTTCTGTTGATTCAACTGTCGATTTTTCACCCTCTGACGATTCTAATTACAGGCACCTTTATGCTCAGTCATACGGTGCCTATCCCCCAACCACCAGTCCATCACACACGGACCATCCAGTTTACCCCATGTACTATATCAACCCACACCAGTCCCCAGTTCCATTTGCGCCGCCTGACTCTTCTGGCCAGTTTAATACACGCTCTGAAGAGGCCGAGTCAGGCGGCGAGCACGTCCCAGTAAGCGCTTACCCTATTCCCGTATACCAGCCTACCCAGTTTTACTATTCGGGAGCCCCGATACTCGGCGCATACACCCACCCGAATATGTACTTTATGCCGATGAGGTCACCATCTGGCCCTTCATTCACGACGCCACCGGGTGATACCGGCCACCTCGATGCTACCCAGCAGCCTTCACCACCCTCCTCATCTGCCTTGGGTTACTCTGACGGATACAGCCACGATACATCTGGATACCCGAGCGCGGGACATTCTGCACTCCCAACTAATTATGCGTACCCCTACCCGATGGCATACCCTTATTATGGATATCCCAGCCCATCTGTATTCCCGCCGATGATGGGCCATCCATTTTCAGTGATGCCAGGCTACCGAGCTCCTGACCGCCCGACACGGGGACGGCGTCAATCCCATGGACGACGCCGCGCTCCGAAAATTAGCCGATCACCACCGAAAAAGACTGACGACCCGAAGCAAATATCGAATCCATCTTCGCCATCGTCACAGACGGACGAGCTGCATGCGCCTTCTGCTTTTACAATGGAAACAGCGCAGGAGGAAACTCCGCAGCCAGCTCCAGCCCCGGCGCCGGCTTCACCACCGGCGCCTCAATTCGCACTCTCTAACTATGAAAGTCAACGTCAGGGAGTGCGGTCAAACTATGTTATGTGGTGCGGTAATGTCGCGCAGGATGCGACACTTGACGAACTCTGGGCATTTTTCATCAGTATTCCCAAAGATGATACACTTTTCAAATCTGATGAAGCTGAGGAAGACGGGACACCTGCAGTCTCGCGCACTGTGCCTACGGAGGAGTCTCCGAGTGGCATTGCGGAAAACCATGCCGGTATTCTCTCCATCTTTATTATTTCGCGTTCGAGCTGTGCCTTTGTAAATTACGCCACAGAGGCTGCTCTCGAGCGTGCTTGCGCGTACTTTCACGGCAAGCAGCTCCGGGCAAAACCTACGAGTCCGAAGCTTGTTTGTCGCCCGCGCAAGCAGGAAGATGCAGAGTATGCGGGCGTGGCTGCCCAGCGCGGCAAAGGCGTTCATGTTGCGTGGTTCAAGCAGCAAAAGGAGCTTGCACAGCAACAGCGACTGGAGCAGATGTTTTCCAAGGCTACACTTGCTCCCGAAAGTGAGTCGTCCAGACTTGGAGATGATAACTCCTTTGAAGACTGGAAAACAACGTCGAGCAGCTCCGGCGACTCGCGTTCATTTGCTTCCACGAACTCGTCTTTGCTGCGTCAGCCCGAGTTCCGTGTGCGGTTCTTTATCTTGAAATCGCGCACGCGGGAGGCACTCGATGCGGCACTCAAAACCAGTACCTGGGCGACACAATCACACAACGAAGGCGTCCTGAATCAGGCTTTCCGCAACAGCCAGACTGTCTACCTGCTCTTTAGCGAGAATCTGAGTGGCCAGCTCTATGGCTGTGCGACTATGGCAAGCGAGATCGGTGGTCCTACATCGCCTAGGGCGACACAGACTGACGTGGACGAGTTGTGCGATCAGATTGTTACTGAGCCCAGCTCTATCATATGCACTAGTGACGACGTCCAGAACGCGTTACAGTCGCCAAACATACACGCGGCGACTGACGCGCCGGATGATTCTGCGTCGCAACGACAGCGCTTGTCCTTTTCATATACATCACCATCAATTGCTGCTGACAACCACGCGCACGAACAGCTCGCCACTAGTGCTATGATCCACAATCTCCGTCTGGACCTCCATGCTAACGATGAAAAGGAGTCGGCCCACGACGCTCAGAGCAGCGCAGGTGCGGAGTCTACGCAGGCGCCGGCTGCTTCCGAGCCCGTCTTTGGACGGCCGTTCTCCATCCGGTGGGTTATTACACAGCCCCTACCATTCTCCAAGATTCAGCACCTCCGTAACCCATGGCGTGACAATCGCCTGGTCAAGGTTTCCCGCGACGGTACAGAACTCGAGCCTCATGTCGGTGATGAGCTACTCAAGGTATGGGAGTCACACCTCGCAGAGCAGCAGGTCGAAGACAAAAAATAATGACTTGTGCGGCTCATGCGGTGGCAATGTATACAGGACCTGTTCTGATACATGTAGAATGATACATATTGGTCGGATTTTTTTCTCTATTGCGCGCTCAGCCCTAGCAGCGCGCTAGCACTGCACTGCACTGGAAAATAATGTTCGGCGGAGCACGGATGCCTGCCCACGTGCCCTCCACAGAAGGCGAAAGAATATGCATGAGAAAGTTCAAGTGGCAACGCCAGGAATAAGAAGCTTACTTCTCACTACCTGGACTGACAAATGATCGGTACCATGTATCGTGGACTCCGCGCGGCCCCTGCGTCGGGCCGCCTGCTTTCGCAGTCTCTGCGCACCGCGCCTATGGCCCAGCGCCTCACTCCTCTTGGTGCTCGTCTCAGCTCGGGCAAGGCTACTGGTCCTGTCATCGGCATTGACCTTGGTACCACCAACTCGTGTGTCTCGATCATGGAGGGCCAGCAGGCTCGCGTGATTGAGAACTCGGAGGGTGGCCGCACCACTCCCTCCGTCGTCGCGTTCACCAAGGACGGTGAGCGTCTCGTTGGTCTCCCTGCCAAGCGCCAGGCTGTGGTCAACCCTGAGGGCACTGTGTTTGCCACCAAGCGTCTCATCGGTCGCCGCTTCCAGGACAAGGAGGTGCAGAAGGACATTGACAACGTCCCCTACAAGATTGTCGCTCACAACAATGGCGATGCCTGGGTTGAGGTCCGTGGCGAGAAGTACTCGCCCTCGCAGATCGGTGCCTTTGTCGTTGGCAAGCTCAAGGACACTGCCTCGGGTTACCTCGGCAAGACTGTGAAGCACGCCGTGATTACCGTGCCTGCATACTTTAACGACTCGCAGCGTCAGTCGACCAAGGACGCCGGTACCATCGCCGGTCTCGACGTGCTCCGTGTGATCAACGAGCCTACTGCCGCCGCCCTTGCGTACGGTCTCGACCGCCAGGACGCCGGCACCATCGCCGTCTTCGATCTTGGTGGTGGTACTTTTGATGTGTCGATTCTCGAGATGTCCAAGGGTGTCTTTGAGGTCAAGTCGACCAACGGTGACACCCACCTTGGTGGTGAGGACTTTGACATTGTCCTTGTGGAGCACATTGTCAAGGACTTCCAGAAGGAGAGCGGCATCGACCTGAGCAAGGACCGCATGGCTATCCAGCGTATCCGTGAGGCTGCCGAGAAGGCCAAGATTGAGCTTTCGAGCGCCAACACTACCGACATCAGCCTTCCCTACATTACCGCGGACCAGAGCGGCCCCAAGCACATCAACACCAAGCTCACTCGCTCGCAGCTTGAGGGTCTTGTTGGCAAGCTCATTGAGCGCACTATTGAGCCCTGCAACAAGGCTCTCCGTGACGCTGGCGTCAAGCCCAGCGAGATCAGCGAGGTCATCATGGTCGGTGGTATGAGCCGTATGCCCAAGGTCCTCGAGACTGTCAAGAAGGTCTTTGGCCGTGAGCCCTCGAAGGGTGTCAACCCCGACGAGGCCGTCGCCATTGGTGCCTCGATCCAGGGTGGTGTGCTCTCGGGTGATGTCCAGGACATTCTTCTCCTTGATGTTACTCCTCTCTCGCTCGGTATCCAGACCCTTGGTGGCGTGTTCACCCGTCTGATCAACCGCAACACTACCATCCCCACCAAGAAGAGCCAGGTCTTCTCGACTGCTGCTGACGGTCAGACCGCTGTCGATATCCAGGTGTACCAGGGTGAGCGTGAGCTCTGCAAGGACAACAAGCTCCTTGGTAACTTCCAGCTCCAGGGTATCCCCCCTGCCCCCAAGGGTGTGCCTCAGATCGAGGTCACCTTTGACATTGACGCCGACGGTATTGTGAACGTCAGCGCCAAGGACAAGGCCACCAACAAGGACCAGAACATGACTATTGCCGCCGGCTCGGGTCTCTCGGACGACGAGATCCAGCGCATGGTCAACGACGCCGAGCAGTACGCTGAGGCCGACAAGGAGCGCCGCCAGGTCATTGAGGAGGCCAACCGCGCCCAGAGCGTTGCTGGCGAGACCACCAAGGCCATGAGCGAGTTCAAGGACCAGATCGACAAGGAGGAGGCCGAGAAGGTCCAGAACCTTGTTAACGAGCTCGAGGCCCTTGCTGCCAAGGGTATCTCGGGTGAGGGTGCCACTGCCCAGGAGATTAAGAACAAGATTG